ACTCTATTTACACTGTAAATGCCTACAGCTTGGTTGGATGGATTCAGACTGATGCACCTGAAATTATGGAGAAAAAAAACTAGTCATGAAAAACTCTGCTTTGCAGCAAGTAGCTTTGGACTGAAGGCAAGATCTCAAAGTGGAAGTGTTATGGTACAGCTGTAGGAACTAGTCAAAACTGCTTGCAGAGCAGTTGATTCCTGCTAGGAGCTTGTGTCATCTAAGGAGAACAGGAGACATCAAGCCCGTTGCTGACGCATGGCTGTATTTTAGTATAGCTGCAGAAGATGACCATGATGGAGCCCTTTAAAGCATGGTCATGTGGTAGGTGGGGGTGTGGAGGTTACGATACTAATCAAGCCCCTAATGCTCTTAGTGGTAATACATTAATGCCTTAACATATAAGGCAGTTCTCTCTTCTACAGATTTTGGGTACAAGGGGATTAGTAGGAAAGGTCTATCATCTCTTGCCCTTGTGTCCTGCATCACACTCATCACTCTGCATTGTACAGTCTGTTGCAAGGGACAGCAACTTGAGGGTGAAAAGATCCACTCCTGAAAACCCTTACTATTACTCACTGCAGGTGTAACTGCTGTATGGCCAGAGACCTTCATCACATCCCAACAAGGCTTGTGGTACTTCAGCTGCTTTCCAACAACAACCTGAGATCCTAATCTCAGATCCCACCACTCAGAGAGTGTGGTAAACACAGGGATTTTAGACCGGACAGCGATATCACCCTGTGCATCTGCTGGTTGTGTCACAGCACAAAGAGATGAATCTGCAAATATATGTGAGAGGCTGTGCTCCAGCCAAGATAAGCACAGCAAAGCCTCGCAAATCTCCAGCTCTCTTTTTGGTTCACTCAGAAGAGTTGCTGATGATGGAGAGTCCTGCTCAGACATCGCACTGTGGCCACAGCCCCAGTGGAAGCCTGGAGTTGGTCTTAGAGAGAGGCGCAGGAACATGATCAAGCATCCCACAGCTATCTGTTATCTCTGTAACAGACCAAAGCAAGGTAATCTCGCTGTCCTGCCAATCAAACATCTCCAAGGTGACTGCCATTTTGAGGCCTGTGGTTTTGTTCTCCCCACCATCCGCCTTGGTGGGTCTAGTCTTTTTGGTGCTGTTGTGCAGCAGAAGACAGCACAGCCATTGATGTGGCCTGGCTCAGGAAATCCAACTAGCTGGGATCAGAAAGGTGCTTCCCACCTTAGAGATAGCAACACCTTTGTAATAAACTTTATTCAATGTGCTTGACTTTACCTGTACCCTTGTGGCAGTTTATATTTTCTGTCCCTATCCTGAATAAATAACATGATAATCCCTTCAGATGCTGAAGGCTAAATTCCTTCATCATCCTTAACAGCAAATCCAGAGGCATTTTATGAAAGTGAGTAGAGGGCAACTCAGTAACTTCTTTTCACTCATACTGACCCTGATGGTTTAATGCATGTATACAGCTGCATCTCAGGACAGAATTGGGTTTCCTCGTTTGTCTGGATTTTGAGTGTTTCTATTTTCATAAAACTCAGGATTGAATGAAAAGCTTGCTCAAGTGGTCCTGCAAAGTTGAAATAGGATATGTGTTTGGTGAGGAGGGACAACAGATATGGGAAAGAAATAAATTTAGTCTCAATGAGAAAGAGGGATCTGCTGCAGCTAGGAGAGAAGACTGCCTGCAGCTGTATGTCCTAAGTTGCTAGACCCTCCAGAGGTCTTCATATAGTCTTGGTAACACCTAGGCTTCCTGGTTTTCCTAGAAGTTGCTAATCTACAGTTGGGATCATCTGAGCAAACCAGTCCTTAAGTACAGTCTGTCTAAAATTATACAATATTGACATATCACCACACATACGGGTGCTGCAATGGGCATTATTAGTTCTGGGAATTATTTAGATAGAGAGCAGTAACCGACAACAGAAACAAACAGGGAGGTCTGTGCTGATTCTTCTCTGCTGTGCAAGCTGGACAGCACAGTTGCCCTTATGAACTCTGGGAAGCCAGAACGAAGATGGTAGAATGATAGAATCAGAGAATTGTTTGGGTTGGAAGGGATCTTAAAGCTCACCCAGTTCCAACCCCTGCCACAGGCAGGGATACCTTCCACCAGACCAGGCTGCTCCAAGCCCCATCCAACCTGGCCTTGAACACTGCCGGGGATGGGGCAGCCACAGCTTCTCTGGGCAACCTGTGCCAAGGTCTCAGCACCCTCACAGGGAAGAGCTTCTGCCTAAGAGCTCATCTCAGTCTCCCCTCTGTCAGGTTAAAGCCATTCCCCCTTGTCCTGTCCCTACAGGCCCTTTTCAAAAGCCCCTCTCCAGGTTTCTTGTCAGCCCCTTTAGGCACTGTAAGCTGCTCTGTCTCCCTGGAGCCTTCTCTCCTCAACAACCCCAGCTCTTTCACCCTGTTTTCACAGGAGAGGCGCTTTCACTATGTGTAAAATAATTCTGTATAGAGAAAATGAGACCCTATTCAGCAGAGGACAACCTAGGAGAAAGCCAAGCTCCTCCTGTAAATGAGGTGTTGGCTTATATCCCTTTGTGAACAGGGAGCACGTGATTTGACTAAAGTAACACCAACTGTACTGTATTCACTTTTTCTGAGTGAGACTTAACACTCTTGGCAATTTCAGCTGTTAAGCATAAAGTCTTTAAATAATGGATTAGAAACAGGTGCTAATAATACCCAAATGTAAGGAAGACTTTAGGGGAGTCAAATGGCTTAGGTTCTATCTGTCAATCAGCAAATTTCTCCCATCTTCTGTTATATTACTCACTGAGAGGTAGGAGATGTTTATTAATGGGGGAAGGGGAATTAAAAAAGGAGATCCCTGGCTTTGTTGCATAACCTGCTGCTGTGTCACAGCCAACCTGAGAGTTCATCTGCTTTTCTCTCACTCTCAAGGTAGGTGAGCATCACAGCTTCTTCTTGTGCTCAAGACCTTATACAACTCTCTATTTGGAGAGGAAATAGGGTTAGGATAGGCACTGGGGTGTGGAGCTGGGACCTTCAGTGTGATTTTTAACATAGCAAAAAGGCTTGAATCTGGGTTAATAGATTTCCACCCTGGGTGTTTTCTGTCCCATGTAGATTTCACTAAGGTTTAGCCCTGAATTTGAGAAACATTCCCAGCAGGAGTTTTCTCAAACCTAACACATTTTCCAAAAATGCCTTTCTCCCCCTGCATTCTCCCTTAACACTTAATAAAAATCTCCTCTGCCACCTCTGCAGGTGAGTTTATTTTCATTAATGCCTTGAAGTTGCATGGATATTTATGGGTAAAAAAGGCCAGGGAGGCTGCCAAAATACAATTAGTGATAATAATTAATTATTAAGACAGAGGATTCTCAGAGGAGAAAAGTGCCGGAAATCCCACTCTGAGCAACTGTATACATAATCTTTTTGAAAAACAAGAAACCAACTCAAAAGTCAACAACTGCAGCATAAGGTCAACCTGATCATGTGTGGCTTTAACTTACGAAGCCATTGCAGAGGTCAAAGCTGGGGAGATTCCCCTCCTTCGGATGATAAGCAGCAATCAATCCCTCTAGAGATTTAACATGACACCTGCCTGAAGTTACAGCCTGCAACATGTGGAGTCCTCACATGTCAGAAGGCAGCCTGGTTTTCAGCTATGGTTTGAACAGCCCTGCAAATGGGGTTTAACTTTTAGATGGGACGGGGCGAGGAAGGAAACAGGAGACACACAAAAGGAAAATATTTTTATACCACTGTTCTTGTGACCTTGTCTTTTGGAGCATTGAGGAAATCATGCAGAATTAGAATCTGCTCTGGTTACAACTATTGAATAATACATTGCAAGCAGCCTCTGGTCTGTCATCAGTGGGGCAATAGTCGCTTGCAAGGGTAATTCAGAGCTGGTTGAGGTCCCTCCCTGTTTCACTGATGCAGAAGAAAGAGAAGCACCTGCAGGTAGGTAGTAATTGCACGGGCTACTTATTTATTCACCCCATAGCTCAAGGGGTGTAAGGATGGGGTTCTTTGTATAAACTCAGGAATTGAACTTTATGTATGTGTTTTGCATATGATGTTGCTCTTTCTAGATGAGACATGGTCAATAGAGCCTGAAAAATGGAGCAGCTCATTCTAAAGCAGAGGGCCCAGTGGTGTCTTTCACTATTTGTGATTAAGATTCCCTGTCACCACCAAAAGAATAGTAGCAGCTATTTGATAACAGTTATTCAGTACTGCAGTTAGCTAGTGTATTTACTCTAGGATACAGAAAAAGTTTGGAAAGTGCTTATCCACTTATATGATGGGCACTCATATTAACTCTAGATGCCTGTGAGGTAGGGCTCAGTATCTGAACTAACATCTCAGACTTCATTCATTCCCTGGAGAGAATGAGGTACTCTTGAGGGTGAGTCAGATGACTGTTTTTACATCAGCTATAGCATGTGAGGAATTGTACCCCAAGGAGCATAGGAGTGTAGACCGCTGTCTCACAGGGTCTATGGTGTTGTCACCTGTGTTCTGTCAGGTATCTTCCACCCATCCTGTGTCACCATACAAGGCTGAGGTGATACTCAGCTGTGCACCATCATCTCTGCATGCTTTTGGTCCAACCCAAAGAAAGCCGAGATGAGGAAGTGGGGATGGAGCCTCAGTGTAATCTGGAGAGGTTTTGGGTGAATGATCATTAACAGGGACTGCAGAGCACATCAGCTTTACAGGCCAGGCAATGTTTTTGTATAAGAAAACATGAGAGTCTTTTGGAAAGGAAGCATTGAAGGTATTGTGCTAAGCATTAGGACATTTGGAGTCTGCACCTGGCCCAACTGTAGAAGAAATACCAGAATTTGAAGATGCCTCTTTTCCCACTGGTGAATGAGGAATAAGGTTTCCCTTTGCCTCTCTGGGGTTGTGATTTTTGTCATTTGTTATCCTTTACAGTGCCCTTTAACATGCCGTGATGGAATATATGAAACTTTCTCCTGGAGTCTGAGTTTTTATGTTTGCTATTCATGAGGTTTTTTTCCAGGCTGGGAGGGACTTTTGCAATCATTTAATCTGATTTATTTACTGCCTATCACAGGCTGGAGACTTAAAACATGGGCTTTGTGATCAGAAAAGGCAAGAAAGGCTCTGACACCAGGAGCCAGCCTTTCAAGCTCGTGACTTAAATGCAGGTGTACTATGTACAGAAGGAGACACTGCGTCAGGCTTGTCAGTCAGCAGAGAGCACAATCCACACAGTGATGCAAATTCCTCAGTCATCAAATCTGTATGAGGAACAAAGAAAAAAAGTACTTTAAAACCTCATTAGTTAATTATCGTCACTGCAGATGGTGCCCAGCTGTAAGCTGCTCATCTTAATCCCATTCCAAGTGGCTACCCTGGGCAGAAGAGTACATTTGCTTCTTTTATCTGGAGAAGTGGTTGAGCATGGGAGCACACGGTGGTGGGGAAAGCTGCAAGAAGAGGAGAGATGTAAAGATTTAGGAAGGAAGGTGGGGACCATTCCCCTGTGCAGGCAGTGACCAGAAGAGTTCCATCTTTCATTTGCAGGGTTGAGAAAAATAAAGAAGGGAGATTTCGCTGCCTGGCTTTTGATCTCAGCTGTGAGTGCTCAAGGGAGGCCTGACCTGGGATGGATTATTGACTTGAGCAAAGCTATGTACCTGGATTACTTTTGCTGTGGTGAGTTGAATTTGCTGTCTGTCCCTCTATTCACTTGTGAATCAATACAGGCAAGAAGAGCAACAAGGGAGATACTGGAGCAATGGAGAACAAGTAGCAGCAGGAGGTCTGATGTTAATATTGATTGCCTTTTTTTCAGTAGCTCTGTTTTCCTTTTTTTACGTCTTTGTTTCTCACTAGGAAAGTCAGATGTGGCTGATGTTCAGGCAGGAGAAATAAGTGTTCATGGAGATAAGAGTTATACTTATGGAGGAAGGTTGCCGACGTGATCAAGCCGTAGCTGGTGGCTATGTTTGGCTCTGTTGAGCAATGCAGGTGTTATCCCTGGAAGATTTCTAAAAGCTGCTTCTGTGTTTTCCTGGGTGGCTTTGCAGTGGGCTCTGGGTCCATCCTTACTGAGGAATTTCCCAAATGAACAGGTCTCTTTTCTGACCAGAGCTGGATCCCAGTTTTCCTAATACAGCTCCCTGCAGCCACTTAAAGTCTCTGCTGTTATTTAGGGTCAGCAGAAGATTGAGTGGATCAAGCCCATAAGAAGATATAGGCTCCTGTGTACAGGGAGGGGACTCGTGGCCATTTTAAGCAGCACTGCCCAGGCAGAGAGCCAGGCTGGCTGCAGTCTTGCACCAATGCTGGTCCCTGATGGGAGAGACTGTGACTTTCACCACAATCCCAGTTGGAGTCTAAGCCAGAATTTCTGCTCTGATTTTCTCTGTAAGATCTAAATTGCCCACAAGGCCCTCTCTTTTCTGTTTGCTTGTTTATTTGTTTTCTTTTTTCTTTATTTCTTTTGTTGGCAACCCCTCTGTCTCTCTAAGTACAGGCTAAAAGGGGGGAGCTTGTGTTTTTTGGCAAATACATGCTTCAGGTCATTAACCCTTGACAGTTCTTCGGCGAATTACTATTAAAAAATGAATTCATTTCTTGGGCTGAAGAGAGGTTCATATAGTTGATGACATAAGGGTCATCAAATCTGACCCCTTGAATAGTACGGAGCACTGAATTTCATCCTGTAGCTCCTGCCTTTTCATTTATGTTTTTTATACATCATGCTAGGGAACTCATAATATCAGCATGGCATATCTGCAGGGACTGAATTAACATGGAAGGGAAAAAGAGGACTGATATAAATTTACCAGGAGGTAAAGCATAGGTCAAGATAGGTCAGCAGCTTATTGAGCCTTTGCAGAGAAGAGCCTGGAAATACCCAGTTGCCTCTTGCTCAAAAACTACCTGGTTTCATCTGTCTGTTATGGAAAAATATTGCCTGGTGGCCATACTCCTGATCTGGGAATTTCTGCATCTCTGTGACTCCTCTTGTAAGGTCTGAAAATACAGTAGGTTCTTGGTCTGTCTATAATGACTATGAATTATTCGTTCTGATGGTGGTCGATTGGTATTTATCTTCTACTCCCCCAGATTGCTCCTTACTGCAACTGAGGGCACAAAATAATGTTTCTATCTCTTGCTTGTTTTTTTGCTTGTTTATTCCCTTGTCCACCCCTTTCTTCTTCCTTTGCTTGCTTTTGGAGCTTTAATAGTTGTTGGCTTTTTTTAATTTCCCCCTGTTCTTTAATTAATCTCCTTGTAAATCATGGCTGTATTCTTATCGTTCCTTGGATAAACATGCACCATTGGCCAGGAGGTGAATTTCATCCTTGTCGATTGTTGTTGTTATTAATTTGTTACTTTTAATCCATTAATGTAAAGGACAGACCAGCTGCACATTCAAGCGTAAAATGTTGCTTATAGAGCCTAAGTGGTTTTAACATGTTAAAATATCAGTTTGGAGAGATGAACAATGGAACTCTTCATCTCTTCCCTTCACAGTGCAATTTTTCCCCCAGATTCTACTCTTCCTTGAATACAGAAACCAGTTTTCTTTTTTCCCCAGTCTGGTTTTAAATAACCTGTGAGAAGGGGTTTCTACTACTTTATTTAAGGTTATTCCCATCTAAATGACCTCACTTGCCCTTTTTTCAGTTTTGTCCCATCACGTCTATTTATAACCTCTTGCTCTACATTAAGTGATTCCTCTGTATGCCTAGGAAGAATTAGTGCCTTAACATTTAACCATGCAGTGAATGAAAAACACAGGAGAAAATCAAGACCCAGGAGCAGCTGGTGGCAGAAATGCTGGTTCAGAAAAGACTTGATTTCATCTATTTATGTAGTGCCTATACTCATCAGCTTCCCCTCATCCTAACTTATCTCCTGGCTTGCAGCACACAGTCATTCCTCATTGTTCACTTACAAGGGCTGAGAGCTCTTAACAATGGAGATCCTACTTCTTCCTTGGCTCTCAGCTTCATCCTGACTGCCAGCTCTTTTATTTTCCCCGAGGCATTACTTGGCCAAGCAACGTATATTTAGTGCTTTCAGTATTTTTTTTTCCTCCCTCCTTCATCTAACCAACCCTCAATCATTTTGTTGCTTTTCTCTAAAACCTCTCAAAATTGTCATCATCCTGCAGGCTTGTGGCTGTCCAATGTTACCCTCAGTCTTCCTCCTCCTGCAGGGCATGGAAGCTTGTTGCCTTATTTTCTTAGGTGTTTTCACTGTTGTTGGTGCCCTGGATTGCGTGAGAAGAGTCCTGTGTGTACTTAAAGGCTTAGCAGGAAAGGTGGGCTACCGAGATGGTGATGCAAGTCCTTCCATGCTTGGTTCAGAGCAGCTCACCCAGAAACAATGCACTTTTGTCAGAAATTGGCTTGAACTCTTTCTTTTTATCTTTTTGTTTGTTTGTTTGTTTGTTTTTGCTTTAACAAGGTAGCATAAATGGACTGTATCAGGACCAAAGAGACAAAGGTGGTGTTCCTAGTGCTGTTCCTGTAGCCGAATCAGTGTTAGTGGGCAAGTCACTTGACCTGTCAGTACCTCAGTTTCCCTTTTGACCATTATCTGTCTGTTCTGTCTGATGCTCTGGGAACTGTGAGTATCGCTTATGTTTGTGAAAATACAACTGAAATGGAGAGAAAGCCTAAGCACTGCAGGCTTCCAAAGCTGCCTGCTTTCTACCCACTCTGTGATGGGCTCTGGTTGGGTCTCAGCATCCACAATGTGCTTGGAAGCACCCAACCTTGGATATCTGCCGATGGCATATGCAGGACCACCAGGATGTTGCCCAGCCAGGAGTTTGGCTTGCATTACAGCATCCGGAGAGCAGAGGTGACCTCTTCGTGAGCATGTGCGTAATCATAGCATGGTGGTGGGCAAGTCTGCTCCTGACAGCAAGCCTGGGCCAGTGCTGGCTGGTGATGTGGATGTCCCAACATGTGCGTTTACTGTCAGCCACCTCAGCAGCAGCTTTGGAGCACTGCTAGAATCCAAAGGAGCAATAAATCTGTAGAAATGATATCTGTTTATTTGACAGATCTGATGCACGTCCCAGAGCCACATTGTGCCAGCTCTACTCCTTAACTACTGTCAGTTCAATAAATAATAAGTTTAGTGGAACATTTTTTGTCCTACTTGAGGGAACATTCACTGCCTCATCAAAGTTTATACAAGCTGCTCACAGGTTTCTTTTGCTTAGTGACTTGGTGTCTTCATATTTCATTATTTGTGCATTAGCTGACCAGCCTTAGTCACCTAGTGTCATCTTTGTTTCTTGACTACACAAGCCAATCTCCTGTCACTGAGATCTGGCCATGAGGTCTTGCAGGGAGGTAGTTCTGACTTGCCCTCCATGAACAGCTCAGCAAGCCCATAAGCACATTTGGCAGATGCCCTAGCCATTAAAGTTCAGGCAAAGTGAACACTGAAGTAAAAAACATGTGGCACTTTGCCAACCCATGGGGAAAAAAAAATCGGCACCAATAATCTTCAGTATATTTTGCAGTACTTTTCCAGAGCTACTCTCTTCTTGTTGGGGATTCATTTACCCATTTCAACACATTACCACTTTAAGCTTCTTCAAAGGCATGCAAAGCCTCTTAATAAATAATCTTGCTATTTCTTATCACATCTGCCTGAGTGAGAGACAGGACAAATAGGGCAGCATTCACATCTGAATCCAGGTCAGGATCAGATGGAGGCTGGGATATGGTGATGATGAAGGACCAGGTAATGACTGTGGTGTTGTATGAGCTCTGCCTTAACTCCTACAGGCTTTAGAAGATGTGTGTTAGGATGGGTATGAGGCCAAGGAAGGGAGGTGCACAGCAACAAGAAGGACTACATGTCTCCCTGTGCTTTCACATATCATCTTTTGCCACAGTACCTGAACACTTTCTGCTCTGTGAATTGTGAGGTGTGAGCTGAACTGGCCAGCCTTGGCAATTTCAGGAGAGGTAGGAGCAAGAAAGGAGACGGTGAAGATCTTCAGAGCTTTTGAGGGTGGCGAGGGCAAATACAAAAATGTGGAAAAACAGAGGGAAACCACCAGATTGCAGAAAGGAAGAACCTTATAGGCAGGGTTTTTAATAGACCTTGCATAATATTGTGAAAGCTGGTTAAGTTTATAAAGGTTGAGATAAGCTAGCTCAGAAATTGATAGGTGTTTTAGCAGGAAAGGATGGCAGGAGATTTTGGAGAGGTTACAGCCATGAAACTGTAAGATTTGGCAACAATCCAGATGAGAGTATCTGGTGTGAAGGAGATGTAGGTGTTGAACACGACACAGAGATTGTGAATTTGAGTGTTATACAAGCGCAGGTTATTCACAGCAAGGAGGGAAGGGGGAGGGAAAGGTTTGTGATGAAAGATAAGGAGGTGTTTTTTTAACCGCGATAAAAGTGTTGGCAGATCCACATCTGGGATATAGCTCAGAGGAAGGGTAGGGGAGACCCAGCAGTGGAAACCTACACCTGCTACCATGAATGTGGAGAATGATGTCACCAGATGACATCACAGGGAACACGATGTCAAAAGGAGAGAGCATGAGGATGATGAAGAATTACCAGGGCATTCAGAAAGGGTGTGGAGGGAGGCATCAGACGTTGGCCAGTCTCTTACAAAGAAGACCACCTTTCTTATTAACCCCTTTAGGTACTGGAAGG